TGAATTGAGAAAAGATTTGGAGTTTTACGAGCGAAAAAAATCGTTGATAATTATTTTTCAAAATCTAAAAATGGATTCGAAATGGGATGATGTATTCACATCAACATCAAGATTTTCGAATGGACCATCAACAAGCAGCCGGAGCATCCGTCCGAAACCAGTTTATCAAGAATATAAAATTGAGAACATTGTGCGAGTGAAATTTAGTCAGGAAAAACGGGAGGTTGTTTTACAACCCAAGAACGGCGCTCCAATGAAATTCACCAATGATGAATTTGAGGACTTTCTGAATTTTCTGGATACGATCAACGATGGATGGTGCGATACAAATTTTTACATTGGAGAATACATTTACGTTAGCTACTGGCATGAAGAAGAAAGCAAAGGACTAACTGTGGTTGATATGCGGACCAATGAAGTGATGGCTTGGAACGAAAATCATCTTGAGATAGTTTTAGCCCACAAATTTAACCTGTACGATATGTTTATTAAAATGGAATAAAACAACTGAGTAAAAAAAAAAAACAAAACAAGGTAGTTTATTAAATTTACAAAACACAAACAAATATCATTATAATTATAAATAAGTTTAAATGAATAATACCACAACTTATAGGTGAAAAAAATCCTAACCTAAAAACCTTAAAACTACAACCCCTTGAAAGCATGCTGAGAAAGCTGTCCCTGCTGTCAGTCTTGACTCTCTGGAATTTCCGATGATTCCTTATACAACTCTATATCTCTATGACCCCAAGCGAGCGTGTATTCAGTACCGGGTATAACGTAGCGTTTGTCGTCCGCGTAAGACAAAGCTACTTTATTTTTAAGTTCGATGTACATATCATGTTTATGTGAACGGAAAGTGTTCATCTGACGATGAATGAGCGTACCTTCTACGTCAACCGCAGTCTTATAATCATCAAGGGTTAATTCTTTCTTGGTGACGTAATCAGGTACGCCTTTCGCTTTTTTAGTCAACTCTCCTTCCACATTAACACAATACGCCTTCGCCCCAGTACCTAGAAACTCCCACACGATTTTCCCTGCATATTCATCTTTCATTTTACCCAGAATAGATTGGTTTACAGGTACATTATGTGGGTTATTCTGTGAGTAATTAGAAGTATCGAATTTGTCTAAATTTTCTCTAATATCATCATAAAAATTCTCAGTTTCTATATTTAAAATAAGGGAGTCAGTATCAGTATAGAGTAGGGACGCTTTATTCCCGTATTTAGGCTTGATATAGCTATACAGAAAATCATACATGATTGTCTTGGATATATCCAAAATGGCGAATCCCACGTAAATAGGCTTATCATATTTAACTCTCTGTTTAGCCATATGGATAGCTACTAAATTCTCACCAAAAATGGTAACGTCTTTAAAATGAGGCTTTGAGATCCACGCTTCTGCTCCCCGTTTTCTTCCAATATTTTCCCAATGGGTAATTAGCTTGATATCTACCCTTTTCTCCACGTTTTCCATAGTTTTACCAAACACGGCATTATTCATAAGTTTGAAAAAATCTTTTTCAAATTTATTGGAAGCAGCATTCCGTTTTGCTGTGTTTAGGTCAATGTAAATTTTGAGCCAAGGAGATTGATTGAAAGTGAGAACGCGATGAATTTTTTCCAATTTTATGCCATGACTTATAGCCTGCTGCAAATTTTGAAGATGAATAACGTATTTTTCTTTTCGATTGAAATTTGGAATAAGTTTTTTAATTTTAGAACCTTCTGGAGCAACGGATTCTGGGCAAAAGGGTAGCTCATTATGCGTATAATGCAGGTCTTCCGGGTATACTAAATCAACTTCGAATATGTAGCCAGTGCTTGAGTTTTTATCTAATTTCAAATAGTCTAAGTTTTGAATTTCTTCCGCGTCAAGCCATTTGAAGTTACCCGTCGGTAAAAATTGGCTCATGGCTGCACCATATAAGTTGGTAGCATCCAGGTACATTAAGTAAGAAGTAGGTTTGGAAGCATCGTAGTGAGGAACGAACTTATTATTTGCGACAGCTTTCCTTATACTACACTGACTGACCCCTCCGCGAATGCCGCGCTTCAGGAAGTGTATCATGTCAATATCTGTCAGTAATTCCAACTCCATAGCTGTTGTTTTAAGAGCAGCATCAAAAGATAGCCCTGGAGCCGTGTAATACTGACACGGATCTAGACTATAGGTTGATAGACACACGTCTCTAAAATTTTCAAAAACATCAGCCAGAATTAATACGTCGGATTTTAAATAAATATCTGAATATTCACCTAAAGTTTTACATTTAAACAAATTCCAAGCTTTCTGTGCACGCTCGTAATCTTTTCGCTTGATGGCTTCTTTTCTCAAATGATTGTAGAAGTCATCAATGGATGGAAGCTTGGTGTCGTCTAATTTCGAAAAAGAATCCACGTAAGAATACGGGAAGACACCCTTTTGTCGAATGACCTGAAATTCGTCTTCCGCGGGAAAATATTTTCTAACTTCTCGACATTGTTCTGGTTTTAAGTTTTGTGATAATTTATCTAAGCTTGATGCCATGAATCGAAAACTGTCGAGGAAGCGCAATTTCAAAAATACCTGTTTGTATTTACCTGCTTCATCGAGTGGGATTTTATCCACCAAAATATGTTTGGTAAATGAAATGTACCGCTCCTTATTTTGGGGGATAACATCCACTCTTTCGTTTTCTTGAGCCAATTCCTTGACAAAGAGATGGGAATCAAAATTGGACATACAATGAAAGAAGATAGGGATGAAATTTGGAATTTTAAAATTAAGGTTACATTGAGAGTGGGCTGCAGCTCGGAAATTCCCAGTGAGATGACAGTGATCCCTCACTCTTTCGTCTTCTGCTTTAAATGGTTTCTCGCAAAGATGGCAATTTTCCGCATTGCGAAACTCATCCTCTTGTTCTTGACTTAGAGGGTGCATGGGCACTATGTCTTTCATAAATCGATTATAGATTGATTTACAATCATTCTCTAACCAGTCTACGAAAACTTTGTGTGCATTAGGTCCTCTGAAAGTCTTGAAAATCGAATGAGAATCGTCAAAGTCACATTTAATGTAATAGGCGAAAGAATAAGGAACAGCCTTGTGAGTTTTGATAGTATAGGAATTTTCGGGGTCCAGCTCGGTTTCCTCTGCCTCGACAGGTTCAATGATTGTCTCGAAATCGGCGTAAACAACAAAAGGTACCTTCAATTTTTTATCGAAATTTGTGAATTTCAGGATATTCTCAGGAACCTCTTCACCGTATTTATTTTTCTTTAAATCTGTTGTCGGTAATTGCACTGAAACGTGACCACAGTCGTATTCTTGATGAGCTTTCAATTTTTGCTCAGTTGAGAAATACACCAAACATCCATCACACAAGTATTTAGCTTTTTCATGTTTAGATAATTGACTTGAAATCAAGCGAGACATGTTTCTTATTAAACAATAGTGACTATCACCAAAATCATTACTGATTAATAATAAATTCACATGTTTCGCTTTTCGAGACTGAGTAAAGTATAAGGGACCAACAATTTCAATAATATCTCTACCATTTTCATAGGCGTTATCTAATCCATAAACATTGATGGAGATATTATTGAGTTGCTCAAACTTACTAATGTCTTTAAGTTTAATTGGAAATTCCATACCTGTAAAGTCTAGCTCGTTCTCAAAAGACAGATAGTTCGCGACTCTATTTGCTGGTTTAGTTCGATCAACTGGATGTAGGTGAGCCAAGACTGACCACATGAAGCATTTTTGGTCACGATTTTGTATATTTAGGACAGCTTTCTTAGCTTCTATCGCTTTTGGTAGCGCGAGATACGAAGACGCTCTCAAGGGGTTGACCTTATTTATCGCTACATCTAAGTGTAGGAGTTGCTGCAGCGCCCAGCCTGTAATAAACATTGTCTAGTAAAAAGGACATACAAATAAAGTTCTACATACCACTTTCTTTTTCCTGGAATTCCGAACACTTTTTATCCAGGATGGCTGAAAACTGCTCGAACAGCTCCTTCAGATCTGCACCATCGCTTAACAGGCGGAATTTGGTGTTGAAGGACTTAACCTCTTCCAACTCTTTCGCCTGCAGGAGGAAGCCGCCGAAAAGCTCCACACCGACTTTAATATGACCAAATTTCAACACATTATCACCTATCAGCTTGATAAATTTTTCAAGAAGATGTCCTAAAAATTCCTTGACGCTGGTAGGGTCCTGTTTTGAAGAAAGCCGGTATGTCGCAATTCGGGCCCTAAAAGATGTTTTTACGAGCTGTACGCCTTCTTCCTGCTGGACACAGGTGTTGGCCAGGTGTTGTAGACTCCGCAGATGCCCGGCCCATCGATTGGTCGAAATCTCAAGAGCACATTCCAGACAGTGACGTGTGGATGACGTTGACGCTTTGAAAATAAAGAAAAAAAAAAGAGAAGAGTTAGCAAATACTATACAAACACGAAAAAACCTTACCATTATTTTGGTCAACTCTAGCTCGTTCAACCATGGGAACACAAAAATTTTCTGCTTTACGCTTTGGGGCCCTTCTGTGTTTTTCTTTGAAATGACGTTGGAAGGCTCCCTCTGATTTGAAAATTCCCCCGCATTGACTGCAAATTTCAACCGCGGCTCTACAATCCCCATGACGCACTAAATTATCCTTTCTGGTAAACGATCTAGAGCAGTATTCACAGATAAACATTTTTCTAAAAAAGCAAATCAAACACAATAAATAATAATTGTTAACTTTCATGAAAAAATAAAAATAAAATAAAATTAAACTTACGGTTCTAGAGGTAATTCAAACCGAGAAGAAATAGAAAGATTAACTGGTATTCTCCAACCTAAGCTTCCTTTCAATATGTTTTCACGACCACCACCACCACCATCGCCATTCGAATGCTTATGTGAATACATGATGTTATAATGAAAGTGACTCCATTTAAATAATAAATAAGTTTCTAGTTTAATTCAAGTTGATTTATTTCTACAAAATGTACAACTTTCCGTTTTTAAAATCTCCTGTAAATTTTTTTTACACTTCATACAAGAAAAATCAGTATTAAGCGTCTGTTTACTCTTCAGTTTTTCATGTTTAGACACTGTCGCAAGACGATCCAAGGGATACACTGTTCTTCCACATTCTAAGCAAAGCCTTACTAAACCTTCTAGATATTCTTCTTCATAGAACACTCCACCCTCTTCGATATTTGAACATTGTTCAGGAAAATAATTTTCGTAAGTCGTGATAAATATTTTTATGAAATTTTTCAAACGGCATTGTACCTTAAAAATGAAAAAATAAATTATTGAAAATAAATTATTAAAAAAATGGTACCTTATTATAGAACATTTTAGATAGTTATTAAAATCATTTATCACTATCACTAGCACTAAATTTCTCAAACCGTCTCCTCTCTTCCTCTCTAAACTTTTTTTTGAAACTTTTGGATTTTTTGGGTGGAATACTCCTTAAAATTGGATTGGCTAATACATACTCCGTTGGATCATAAGTCGGTTCGTTTGTATCCCAGTCGAGCCAATCTTCCTTAGGAAGTGGAAGAGGTAATTCTACTACTTTTGGCGACTGCTGAAGTTTAGGAGAAGTAGAAGGAGGTTGAGAAACACTATTCAATTTACAAAAACACTAAAACGAAAAAAATATTTTCCACCTCTCCAACCATTTATTGTTCAAAATCAGTTATCACTATCACTAAATTTCCCAAACCGTCTCTTCTCTTCCCCTCTAAACTTTTTTTTGAAACTGTACGTTTGTATCTCAGTCGAACCAATCCTCCTGAGTTCGGTGGTTCCTGTTGGTTAGGAGAAGTAGAAGGAGGTTGAGAAAATCTAGTTACTGCACAATAACACTAAAACGAAAAAATATTTTCAACCTTCCTACTATTTATTGGTTGAAAAATGAAATACAATTGAATTTACCTGGTCAAAATCTGTTTGAGTACTTTTATCCATTTTTAAATTTCACGAAAATTATTCAGACGGTGTATTACAAAGCCGGTAAGGTAAGTTGGAAACTTGGATAATTTTTGAATCTCTTATTCGTATTTATAAGAAAGCAAAGTCGCTTCACATTTTGAATAACGAGGAAACGTGATTCACTTTTCAATTAATTATTTTCAATTGATGATAAATGATACACGAAAATGCTATTAAACGATACATAGAGATCCTGGTTAGAAAAATTTAAAAAAATATATAATTAAGTACTTTGTAATTTGTAATTACGAAACGTGACACAAGATCACGATTTTGTTAATCAATGCAAATTGACGGTATTGTTTCAGTGCGTGTAGTAGGTATGAGTTTGTATAAATAGGGTTTCTTTGAGTTAAAAACACAAGTTCTGTTTTCTGCGAGCAGCGGTGCGTTTGTGGAAAAAAAAAAATAGACAGGTAGACATTTTTTATTATTATTATTCTTATTTTTTTTTTTTTTTTTTTTTTTTTTTTTTTTTTTTTTTTTTTTTTTTTTCACATTATTCTTTTTCATGTATTCTTTTTCAGATTAGCTATGTCGATTGCGGAAATTAATGATAAATATAGTTTCAAAGAATGTAATAAGAAAGAAGAGTTAGAAATTGGCAAACCGTACAAAATCATTAATATTAGTAAAATGGATACAAAATTTGGGCCTTCAATTTTGGTTGCATTGGAAGATGGAAAGTCCATTTTTCTACCCAAGAGATATGATTTTACTCAAGAGGAAATTAAAAAATTGACTAATGGTTGCTCCGCCCTAATTTACAGAGGTGAAAAAAATGTTGGGAAACCTTTACCAGCTGCAGTTTTCGAATTTGCAGAATGGACTATGTGAGTGTTTTTTATGTAAGTAAATTTAACCTAACTGCGAAAAAATTATACTTACCACTTTTTTGATTTTTAGAACCAGTCATGAAATTTATCCAACGGATCTATACACAGCCTTTCCAGATCATACACATTTTTGTTATACTTGTCAAAAATGTTTTTGCTTTTGCAAAAATTCAATTAAAAAGCATACCTACATTAGAAGAAACGAACATAATCTACTCTGTCATGAACAAATGTTCGAGTCACCATAGAATTACTGTGTTTTATTTTCTTTGCGTTTAAATAAAATTTTACCGAAAAATTGTTGTTTCATTGAACTTCATCACCTGAGCCTGGGAACTTTGGCAACTGAACCTATACAGGTATCCGGACCTAGATGGCGCCTCATACGGCAGGTAGTGAGTGTACAATAGCCCCCGGGGGTATTATAGGCAACTGAACCTATAGATGGCGCATGCAGGCATGCTATAAGCTCCTCCGGAGGACGGAGGTTGCAGAACCGGCCATTTATATCTACTTTTATCCATTAGCGATTAAATGAACTTATGAGATGAGGTGGTACCTACCTATCAAAAACTACATCGTAGTGCAACATGTTTATACATGTTGCAGAAAAAGTCTTAAATGCGTTTTTCGATAGGAAGAGGATTTCCGCTCAGAAAATAAGTGGAAAAAACAGGGAACAAAATCAAAAAGTTCAGTCATTGTTCAGAAGTTGAATTCCTATACATAACTTGATCTGAGTATCTTTACTGCAGAGTAAGTTATAGAAATGATATAAAGTTAACAGATACGGAGAATCGTTTATTGAAATGCGATTCTTGTTTCCTCACCATTTTAGACCGACTTGAATTTCATATAAAAAAGCCATGCAAATAAACTTGTTTATTGCGTAATCGATATTACACAGAATTGTATTAATTCTTAAAATTTCAGGTACCATAAAGAAAATTGTTTAATCTGATTTGTATAGGTATTCCTGATCTACTTACGGTGATGGTTTTATTTTCATAATCTACTCCTCCCGCTAGTGTTATTCCCAAAATACCATTTGCTTGATCCAAATTTAGCTTCACTGTCTTTAATTCAGTACTATTTGGGAAAGTTGAGTTACGAGATTTGTTATCACTTATTTTTTCAATGTTCTCTAGTTTTGATCTCGTATTCACTGGTACTACAGGTGGTTCTTCTCTAGATAGACTGCTGCTACTGGTATTGCTACTTGCAACACTACTACTCGAAAACCTTCGTCGTTCCCCTATCAGCTTATCTTCTTGTGACATTTGTCTGAAAAGTAATTTATCATCTGATTTCCGCCTCAAATTTAAGTGAAAATCTTCAGAACGTCTTCTAGTAGTCACGATAGGCTTTCCATTTGTTACTTCCGGTGGTGTTATTGCTGGAGAATTTTTATCACCACTTTTATAGCTTTTAGGAAATACTGGAAGTGATTGCAGAGTAGTGTTCTCGAAATTAGCTTTAAGGCTTTGAACGTTTACTGGTTTATTACGTTTGTCTAAGATACTAGAGGCACTGTGCCTTTGTAATAGACTAGCGAATCTATTTACTGTCGGTCTCATTTCATTTTGCGACTTGCATTCTTTGGGCGGTGCTGGATGGAACGTCCGTTTTGATGGAACTGGCTTTTCTTCGATTTGTTCTAGAAAAAAACAACACACCAGATTAGTGTACCTATTTTATTTTTCGTTTTAATAAAATATTTCAATTAAACATTGAACCTCTAGTGGCGTCCTTCAAAAAAAAAAAAAAAACTTTGAGTTCTCAAAAAATACTAAATGGTCGCCAAATTTTGAACAACATTTAACCTGAAAGAAATAACTAGATATTCAGTACTTTTATGTTACTTTCTACCCTTAGAGAGCTTACAAATAATTGTTGTAATAATGGATCAGTGATCTACAAAATTTCCTTAATTCATTTCCAAGGTCAATTCCTGTCAGCCAAACAGTGCCTACGGGAACAAAAACTAGGCCACTTTTACGCGCCGTGGCACTCTACATATAATTTGCAACTTTTCTGAAAATCATATAAAAAACGTGATGTTCCATCTAAAAAACAAAACACCTACTTCATGGTGTAAGTCTTTTGTTTTTTGTTCAAATGTCTTTCTGATACAATAATTGAATTCTGCAGGAAAAATACTTTAGAGTTTAGATGGCAATTTTTCCAAAAATACAAGGAAAGTAAAAAAATAAGCCTCTGTTGAGTCCTTGTCGGAACACCCTGTACATAACTAATTAGTTTCTGGTAATAAAAAAAAAGAGCTTCGAATACATTTTGTATTCATTTCTAATTATTACATAATATTTAATAACTTTCAAAACTGTTGTCAAAACTATCATTTTTGATGACGTACGGATACAATTACCAAATTCTCCATCAATGACTTAACAACAAATTTTAATGCACGAATAACGTTTATAGTTTCATAAATCTTTTAATCCTCTTGCTCTGAGCCTGTATAAAATTGACATGGTACGAGACGTCTACTTAAAACTCAAGAAATCTCAATGTTTAAATGGTTTGAGAATTTCATTTATCTGTTGACATTTTAGAAATTGATTGGTTTGTTGCACCATACTTAAATTCTACGTCCTAAATTTTCTGAACGATGGCATATACCAGGGGTGGATACAGGCCTTTTGAAAGAGGGGGGGGGGACAGTTTAAGGTAAAGTAAGCCAGATTGGGTTAGTTTTGGCAGCGCATTGTACAAGATACGGTTTTTCGAAGGAATGGCCCATAAAAATATGGGAATGGGGGAACTATTTAGGAGAATAAGGTGATTTTAAATAGGTAGGTACAGGGTGTTTTTTTATATATTGACACCCCACCTACAGCCTTTACCTTTACAGGTAAAAGAAAGGTGTAAATACAAAAGTTTTACAATTTTGGCTGAAACCATGGTCAGAAACAAAATTTGAATGTCAGAAATGTGAAATTTTGCATGCTTCCAGCTTTTTTAAAATGGGAATCCCTATATTTAATTCTATATTCTTGAAGAGCACAATGCCCCGATTCCAAAAATATATAGTTTGTCTATATTTGATTGAACAGTCTCCCATATATTCGGCTCCAATAATTGTAAAAATACTATCCTACTACTGATTTTGTGAACCATTCTACCTATACAGGTGAAAGCTGCAGGTAAAATTTGAAGTACTTGGTTTCTCTGATAGTATTTTTAAAATTTCTAGAACCAAATATGTTGGAGACGGCTCAACCAAATATAGACAAACTATATAGTTTTGGAATCAGGAAATTGTGTTCTTCAAGAATATAGAACCAAATATAGCGTATCCCATTTGAAAAAAGCTGAAAGCATGCAATATTTCACATTTCTGACATTCAATTTTTGTTTTTGACCATGTATTTTAAAAATTTAGTCAATACTGTACAACTTTTGTATTTACAGCTTTCATCTACCTATAAAGGTAAAGGCTGTAGGTGGGATGTCAATATTTAAAAAAACAACCTGTACATAATCTTATTGATTTTGTATAAATTTATTTATTAGAACAAAAAAAAAAACAATACATCAACTCAACCACTAATGATATACTGTTTGAGGTTAAAGTTCCCCCCCCCCCCCCCACTGTGTCCGCCACTGGCATATACCTATATTTTTTATTTTTTATTCGCATTAGGATATAAGATTTATGGGTTATTGGCCTATTTTAGTAAAACATAACTGAAATGGCAGGAACATTCACATCTAGCATAGACAAGAAATATATAATGGTTTGGGCTTGAATTGTATGCAAAAAAATAAATGTGACACCGATATTCACAGCTTCTATTATAAGAACATAGCCAGCAAATTCCACGTTGTTTTCTGATGAGAAAATATAAAGGGCGTCTCAACAAGAACTTGAATTTTGAATCACGCGTCAGTTCTGTCTGTCGATGCATCAATTCGGCCATATTGGGCATGTGTTCGGTGAAAACATGGACATTTAGGTACTAACCACCTCTTAGGTAACGGTTATTAATTGTAAAAACGCATTACAGAAATGGAGGAAACGTTACAGTGACGTGAATATTTTGGCCGTCGCGGCCCACTGTTGAAAGTTTGATCAACAAATTTGAGCGGAAATTTGCACGGAAAGACAAGTGTTAGGTGTCGTCATCTTGGGAGGTTTGCAGAAAATATCGCCGCCGTGAGAGCCAGTGTTACCAAATTTTGAAAAAGGATTTGCATCTTCATGCCTACAAAATGCAGTTGATACAAGAGCTAAAGCCAAGTGCGCCTCAGCGCTAAAGATTTTTTGTTCTGGAATGCATCGCCAACTTCGTGTTGTTCCAATATCCAGTTGGTAAAGTTTCTGCGCTGTCTGTGATCGGCTGGCTTCCGCTCTTGTGTCAACTGTATTTTGCAGGTATGAAGATGCAAATTCTTTTTTAAAGTTCGTAGTAGCGTTCTGAAACTGAATGACTGATGTTTAATTCCTAGCCGCGATGCCGGATGGAAGTGCTTGGATAATTGTCTGGTATTTCAGTGCAAATGTCCGCTCAAATTTGTTGATCAAATTTTCAACAGTGGGCCGCGACGGACGATTATGTACGCCAAAATGTTCACCTAATCTGTGCATTGTCAATGCAAAGTTTGCTCCATTTAATAAGTAATGAGTTTTTAGAATTAAGAAATTTTCCTCAAGAATGTAACGCGGCATTTTAGTAAATGTCAATATTTTCACCGAACACATGCCCAATATGGCCGACTTGAGACTTGACAGACAGAAATGGCGCGCGATTTAAAATTCAAACTCTTGTTGAGACACTCTTTAGATATGCCTATTGACATGCCCAGTCAACATAATTGTTTCCCACAAGATGGATCTCCGCTGCAGAAGTTCGGGCTTATCTGATAATATTTTACTTCGCGTGGCTACCGAAATCCCCAGATTTAACAACCCTTGATTTTTATTGGAGTTATTTAAAAACTGAAAAATAGTTGACACTGGATATTTGAAAACTCGAATCATTGAGGAAATACGCTCAATTAGCGACGAAAATATCAGAAATGCCCGCAACAAAAATTTATTAATCGGTTAGGTAACTATAAGATAATCATTTGAATATAGCTGTCTATTGGCTCTGTGTCATTTGCGCGACAACCGTTTGCGCGAGGGAGAAAAGCGCGATACGAAAAGCGCGAGGCGCAAAAGCGCGACGAAACAAAAACGCGACAGGACAAAAGCGCGATGGACACAAACGTGACTTGATAAAAACGCGATGAACAAAAGCGCGAGGGACAAAAGCGCGACGGAACAAAAACGTGAGGGACAGAATTGCGACGGAACAAAACCGCGACTAGAATAAATCGCGATGGACAAAAACCCGATTGGATGAAAGCGCGAAAAACAAAAGCGCGAGGGACAGAAGCGCGACGGAACAGAAGCGCGACGGAACAGAAACGCGAAAAGCAAAAGTGCGACGTAACAAAAACGCGACTGGAATAAATCGCGATGAACAAAAACGCGACTGGATAAAAGCGCGAAAAACAAAAGCGCAAGGGACAAAAGCCCGACGGAACAAAAACGCGAGGGACAAAAGCGTTGTTGACATGGCTGTCAACAAATACAGGACCGGGCATAGGAAGCCCCCAGCGAGGAGTTCAAAATATGAGCAAGTTAATTCTCGATTGTTAAAATTAGTCCAAGAATACCGTTTCTACAACGTACAAAATCACCTTAAAGCAGTAGCTTTAAACTTAACCATTTACACTTAGCATTCCATAATTTGTATTTTTAACTAATTTATTTTGTTTCTTTTGTTAATAAAGTTTATCATGCTGTCCTACTTAGAACTATAAAATAAGTGATAGAGAAATTGAATCAATAATAATCAAGAAAACGCAGACTTACTCAATCTAAACCAAACTAACCCGTCCGCCTAGTGCGATTTAGTCCTCGTAAGTTAGCATTTTATTGCAGACTTACTCAAACTAACCCAAACTAACCCGTCCGCCTAGTGCAATCTAGTCCTCGTAAGTTAGCATTTTATTGCAGACTTACTCAATCTAACCCAAACTAACCCGTCCGCCTAGAGCGATCTAGTCCTCGTACGCTAGCATTTTATTGCGAACTTACTCAAACTAACCCGTCCGCCTAGTGCGACCTAGTCCTCGTAAGTTAGAATTTTATTTTAAAAAACTGTCAAACTTGTTTTTCAAATAAAATGCTAACTTACGAGGACAAGATCGCACTAGGGAGACGGGTTAGTTTGAGTAGTCTGCATTTTTTTGCTTATTATTGATACAATTTGATGTGTCCCTGTTTTGCTTAGAGGTCGCCGTTGTTGATGTCGCTGTTCTAAATCTCGTTCTTTACATATGTCGCTCTTCTGCAATGTCGCTGTTTCAAGTATCGCGCTTTCGAATGTCGCTTTTTTGATATGTCGCTACTTTTTTCACATGTCGCTATTTTGGATATCGCTATTTTAATAAGTCGCTGTTTTGAATATCGCTATTTTGATGTATCGCTTTAAAAATATGTCGCCTTTTTAATGTCACTATTTCAAATATCGCTCTTTTGAACCGGAGCCACTGAGAATTTCTTAATGTCTTGTATTTTGGAAAGCGTTCTATATTCCTCGTAGATAGTTGAGCGTTCTCGTCCAATCGCGCTTTATTCCAGTCGCGTTTTTGTTCCTCGCGTTTTTGTCCCACGCCCTTTTATCCAGTTCGTTTTTGTCCATCGCTCTTCATTCCAGTCGCGTTTTTGTTCTGTCGCGTTTTTGTCTCTCGAGTTTTTGTCCCTCGCACTTTTCGTATCGCGCTTTTCTCCCTCGCGCAAACGGCTGTCGCGCAAATGACACGGAGCCCTGTCTATTACCATAAACGCACCATTAACGACCTTAGCGAAATATTATTAAACTCTTTTATGGGGTATTTCGTTTCCAGAAAATTTTGCAGCAACTAAAGCAGGCAAGGATCAAATCTTATAAAATAAAAAATTTTAAACAGATTAAACTAGATGATTATGTAGGTACTTCAAAAGAAAGAAGTCTTGTGTTTGCAACTGATAAATACAATTTATGAGGCTGAAAATGTAGACATTTCTACGATCGTTTAAGGCAATACTTATGTTTGGTGAAAGGCATCTATTTGAGCAATTTACCTATTTAAATTATAATTTTAATAATTACGAATAAAAAGTAACGACAAAATAATTTTAAATGACAAATGTATAATTGTTGCATCATTGATGCACTTTTTGAAGCTCCTCGGGTAGAGGGGTGTATAGGTACTTGCCCCCTTCAAAACAATGCATACTGTGTTTCTACTTTATTGAATTGAAAGATTGCATTCCAAATAAATAATACCAACTTATTATTTAATTTTTAAAATGTCCATTTTGACAGATTGATAAAATTAATCAACACTATTAATTAATTTATTTTCCAGCAGGGTCAAAAGTGATCATTGAGTAATTTTCTCGGTAACCTCGTATTAAACTATCACCTAATCAAAGAAAATACGCAATAAAAACGACAAAATTTAAAAGAGAAAACTGTTTAGTAATTAGGTACCTATCTACTAATATGCATTTACCGCCATTAGTATGTAAGCAATTCTTAGACCAGAACTAACCAACAAAACACAATAAAAAAAAATCTGCACTATTTCTTGATTAAGTAACCGATTACGCAACTTGATGGTTGAAATTGTTATTTCCACTTTTACCAAAACCACAGTAGCATATTCATTACTCATCGCTAGTTCGTTTTATAGCTTAGTGAATGAAAAAAATAATGGAATGTAGAACTAGTATTAAACAATAATTTTCTCCTGAACGCATCGTCTGCAAGGAACGCATTAGCAATGGTAAATTAGATTTCTCGACGACAGGAATAGAATTTCAAGCAATCATATTGGCCATTATCTATGGCATTATTTTAATACAAGATATGAGCCTTAATGATGTGTGTTTATACTCAGTGAAAAAGAGATAAGTATCTCACATTGAAAAGTTAGAAATGAAATATTATTTACATTATGACTTCTTTAGAGAGATGATTAATTTGTACTTACCCACTATTATCGCCGAATTGACACTTGATATTTCTTCTTTAAGAGCAGTAGCTTCATTACCATTAGCATTAATAGAATTATCTTCGCCATTAGTCATAGAACGATAATCATTATGTTCTTTCAAAATCACTGGTTCAACTTCTTTGCAGCTGACTGTTTTGATATGATTGATCTGTCGTAAAGTAACATTTGAAACAATTTTTTCTTCTGGTGTGATTATACTGATGGGTTCTTTATCATTTGTAGCTCTTTGTATTTGTGGTATTTCAGTCTTTTCTTCATCTAATGAACTTTTTCTCTGAACAACAGGAGATCCTATTTTAATATCCTTTCCGCTGCGACATTTAGCCGAAGCTAAAATATTTTTCCTATTAATGGCTTCAACACTAGAGGGTTTTAGCATTCTATTTTGACCGTTTAATTTGTCATCTGATGTTGGTGATGGAGGAGGAGAGGTTCTTGAATTATAACTAGATTGGCTTGAGCTTACAGCTGAATCGTTATCGCTATCCGCAAAATCCTTTGTATGGTGGAAGTGATGATCTTTTAGTGATGAATGTTTAAGTGATGTGTTATACTCAAAACTGCAATCTGATCTAGTTGGCGATGCGATGCTTTCTAGAGACTTTGGATCGTCTGTAGTTCTAGATGGAGTGCTGTCACTATATTTACTTATATATTCATCGAAACTACTTTCAGCATCGCTACTGTCACTTTTTTTAGCAGAACTGACTGGGTACACTTGTAAACTTTTACGTTTGAAAGCTGGTGAATATTTAGGCAAACTGGTATTTGAAGACCAGGATGGTAGCACCATAGGTGGCATAGGACTAGACAAAGGTTTATTTAATTCGTTAATTTTTTTATTTTCCCTAACTGTTAAATCCATTTGGGATGTTGTAACGCTTTTTATTTCAGGAATATTTACTAACGGAGTAACGTCATTTTCGGCAGCTTCAGGAATAACCAAACCTTTAAGCTTAGATAGTCTACTTTTGCGTTGTTCCATTAAAGTGTTCCATTTGCTTGAATTTTTTTCTTTCAAAAATATACTCATATCGATTAAGCTCTGCGATCTTGTATGTAATAAATTTGATTTTTCTGCTGATTCATATTTTTCTTCGTCCGAATCATCCATTTTAGGTCTTAGATCGTAGTTTGAGCTACTTATTGATCTGTCTAACGGTTTATTTATCGGCTGATTCCAAGTAGATACATTGGTCACACATTGATCAGATTCTGCTCGATAATTATTTTCAGAAGCTATTGGAGTAGTCTCTATAAAATTGGGAAATTCATGGCCGTCTGGTGGCTGCCGCGAGTCGGTTGGAGGAATTTCCATTGGATTATCTGAAAAAAAAAAAAAAAAACACAAAATTAGACAAGCGATTTGTGATATTACAATGTCCGCTTCTCCGTGTCACTTGAAATATTCATATCAAGACTTATAAATTATAGAGAGATGCGACGTTACGGCAACACTGCATATGGGAAGTCAACCCAAATAAAAAGTCTCAATCCCCTACGGGTTGAATTAAGGGGGCGTTTATGACATTTAAAATCCGTCAGTTCAGTGCTTTAAGTAGGTAACTACATAAGTAGGGTAGGTGAAGTGAGAATCATTGCAATTGGCACACACTTTATAAACATCTCCCGTTATGTGTCAAAATTTTACTTCATTAACACACAGGTAATGTCAAAATCATGGCAGATTGATAAATCAGTGGTGAACATGATTATTTTTAAAAAACTGTTGAAGGAAAAAAATATTTATTTGATAAAATGGTTTACCATATGCTTATTAAAAATGACGAAAAAGCAAGAGCCAATTGAAATGATAGCCTGCCCTAAGGTGAGACCATTCGAGCAGGTGCCTTAACCCTAGGTTCTGGCAGTAGCACGATTATAAATTTAAAGAGAAAATGGGTCGACAGAGACTAAAATATCACGTATCACACCGCTGCACTTTAAAAGATTTATTAGTTAGAATTTTGACTTAATACGAGGGATGTTAAAAGAGTAGGTATGTGCCAATTGCAATGACTCCCACTGTACAAACTATGGCTAAAAGTTGTCTGTTAAACTAATAAGGGTAGGTTTTATGAATAATTGTTGTTGCCTAATGTGTGTTCCTGTGAAAAATAACCTCGAAAAATAAAAATTAAACATTAAAAATGGCTCCATTATTTTAAACACATTCGGTATTTGTGGCAAAATATATTAAATTTCAGCAAAATATACGTAAAAATTGAAAAATCTCAAAATCCATTTGTATAATATACAGGAGGTATATGTGGCCAAAACCATGCAGTTTCTCTCGATATACAATGCGCTAGAAATAGTAATTTGTAGTAACTTTGAAATTTAATGGCATGAAATTTATATAATTATTGTCATTTATAAATCAAAGTCACACAACAAATTATAATATTTTCAATTTGTGGTATGAGTTTCTAATCGTAGTTAATAATTTGCAATTCAGTAGGTAAACTTTCAGTGCTGCGGCTGCCAACGCTTCGACTTATTACAAAGCATCTTCAAGGCACTGCAAATTTTTCAGTTCCCCAAATATAGTTCAAAATGACTAAGTTACAATACTTATTCAAGGTTGCTTTGTTTAGTTCACTTTTAATTTTTTTATGGTAAATCCACATTTCCATTCTAATTACTTCTCTCCTACCTCTCATTTTGAGGAAATCTCTGCTAGGTCAGTTTTAGACACTCTTTTATAAATAACGAGAAACCGATCAAAAATAAATTAAAAAAATAAATAGAACAAATTTTACACAATTTCCTAGAACTTGGTATGAATTTTGTTTAAGTAAAGATTAAAATTATATTTCAACAACTAAGTATAAATATTAAGGCGAATTATATTCTTCATATTATTTTATTTGTAATTAACTTATTTTTTTGGCCTAGATTAATATTATTACCTGATATATATTTCATTTGAAATCATCTATGTAGGTCACTGTAGCTTTTTCACAATTACATTTTGATCACTTTGTTATTATTACCTATTCCTTTGTATTGAATTATTATCACTATAAAGACTTAAAAGTAATAAACTATTTACACCGATTTTGTTGCAATATTTTATGCTTCATAGAAAACACCATATTATAATAATGAGTATATTGAGAAATACCTTTTTTTTTGTTTAAATCGTTCTATTGTCAGATGAAATTTATCTGCAACAAAGACCTGCGTTCTATTATAATAGAAACCCTCTCTATCGAAACTGGATTAGCCAATCCCTTAAGTTAAGCACGTAACTCAGGAATTTTATGCGATAAAAGGCTAATATTCTAAAAATAGATTGAAATTTACTTTGGCTTTGTTGGCAGTAGGCATGTTAAAGATAAAAAAATTATTCACAATGGATCAGTTTAATCTTAATTTTTGTCATCCATTTTCCATAAGTGTACATACTATTCCGTAATAGTGTGTTTGGTCACTATTTAAATGTCGAAATCAAATAGAAATTATTATTTGATTTGTCTCAACCTCAAGCTTCAGTGAAGGATATTTAAAGAAGTTTGGTTTTAATGCCGATTGCGATTTGATGTGAAGAAAAATAACTACTTTTCGAAAAAAGGCGAATATTGGGAAAATCGAGAACTCAAGAACCTTGTAACGACAACATCTCCAATCAGATTATGTGTAGATGACACCATACAAGTTTGCCAATCACTAAAAAATGGCAAAACACCTGAATCAGAAATTACATCCCAGCAGAATTGGTTCACTGAGTAAGTATGTATACACAACACGAAAGTAAAATATTGTATCATTACTTATAACTAAACATTGATAGTCAAAAAATATAATGGAAAATGATCAGAGGCTAGACATGCAAAAATTGCACAAGAAAAAAGGAGGTATAAGGGTAAAATAGAGGAAACGATAGCGGATACAAAGGTTTCACAAGATAAGCAAATCGATGAAATAAACATGTTATTAAGTGATAAGTTAGCGGAAGCGGAAAAATAAGTAGCAGAGACAAGAGGAAACGCTATACAGGTCTATAGCACGTCAGCATCTTGCAGGCCAATTTTAATGCATTAGAATGAAATGTCAGCATGGAGCGCTGGGAATGCTGGAGGTGGAAATCGTTTTCGTTCTCTATTTCACCTTAGACTTTTTCTAGACATTTCATTCTATTGCATTAAAATTGGCCCGTAAGATGTTCACTTGCCAGGCCGGTATATATCTTGAGAAATAGGAATAAATAACAGTCCTAGAACAACAGAAGAGAACAACAGCAAAATAAAATAAACAAAATCATTAAGAAATTTGAAGAACCTAAAAATGGAATGTAAGATAAAATAAATAGAAAATGAGTAAACTAGCGAAAAAGTGAAAATACAAATTGCTCCAAACAGCTGATCATGAAAAAACAGAACAGTGATAATACAGAACAAGGAAAAAAGAGAACCATGAAATAACAGAATCGAGAAAAAAGACAGCACTGAAATAAAAGAACAGAACTTTGACAATACCGAACACTGAAAAATAAAGAATGAAAAACAAAACAAAACAAAAAATTCCCAGTTGTTAAATTTTAATGGAAATTATCACACTTTTAAAAACTTTCATGAGGGCCATATCTACTTTTATACTTAAACCCTATACCACAGTTTCGCATTTTTAGGGGTTTTTCTTAATTGTGATTGGTTTGCATATTTTATTGCCTATTATGCCAAAACATTCCTGTTTTTATAATAATGGCTGAGTTCGTTTTTGTCATCTTTTTCGTCGATTTGCTCAGAAATTTTGACAGGCATGTGATTTGTAAATTAAAACTGTCTTATCTAGTCACGTGCCTGTCAAAATTTCGGAGCATATCGACGAAAAAGATGACAAAAACGAACTCAACCAACAATAGTGAACTTAGTAGCTGATTTTTTTATTTGCAAGTTTCACTGTGTTCAGTTCACTAGAAGCAAATTAATTATTGTCGCCTAAAAAACTTAAGAGAGGTCGGGGTTCATACATGTATGAATCTATCTTTACCTGATAAGCGCTAATGTCTTCACTAAAGGAAGTATAGTATTTTAATTCTGATTTGAAACACTGCATTATAACAGGCTATTTCAACAACACGTCGCTCTCTTCCATAGAAAATCTATTGTAAGTTTATATACCTACCGTTCCCTGTACAAAATATGAGAGGCGAGGAAATATCGCTACAGTAGCCCAAAATAATAATATAGGTCGGCACGCGCCTATAGGTTGAATTATTGGGGTGGGCTACTTACGTCTTTCCAGGAAGGATGCGGGTGCACCTGCTGACTAGACTACGCGATTTCTATAACCGCAGTGTCATCCCAATTCATGCATTATTTGTTGTTTTATTCTACGTATTATTTAGCTGTGCTGTTTGATATTGATTAATATACCATTTATTTCCGGTTTATTCATCTTCAGATAAACTTGCTGGTAACTATTTGCAAGATAAATTTGCAGTTATATAATTCTATTCGTTAGGGGATAACTGGCCGACCAATAGGATTACAGATTGCGTTTTTATCCGTCAGATTGCATACCTGACAGTTTATCAAAAGGTGAATAAACGGGCCCTTGAAGAAATAAAAATTATGTGACGCCTATGTCCTATATTTGTTTTACGTATGCCGGCTAGATTTTTTTAGTGCTTCAATTCGAAATAAAAATACTATACCTACTTAGGGTTTTTCATGATTTATTTATTTATGGACTTTTATACTTGTATAAATAGTTATATATTTTTTTCTTTAGTTCCTATTTTTCAAAGTTCTGTTTTGTCAAGGTTCTTTTATTGTGTTTTCTTTTTTCCTTGTTCTATATTATCAGTGTTCTGTTTTTTCATGTTATATTCATTCATGATCTGTTCTGTCCGGTTACCAGGTATGAGGTAGGGAGGGTAGAGTGTGGCAGGTTTGGACGGATTTGGTTAAGGTGATACCGAACTTTTATTTTAGCTAAACTAAATGTTCTAAAAATGCAAATATATTGCTTCATATGTTTTTAAACCAATTGCGTAGCAGTTTCAGAAAAAACTTGCATCGTTTTTCGTGAAAATTAAAAACAGAAGTTGCCATTTGGCCAAAAGTGCCCCACGGTGGGGCAGTTTTGGACTCGCATGGGGTAAGTCCGGACATACCGGGTGATAATGAAACTACTACCCATGGCGGCATTTCTTAACGGCTCGAGATAGAAATATGCACCTCGGTTTGTTGGTAGGGTTGAAAATTGTGAACAATTTTAATATAGAAACAATTGAATGTCTTTTCCGGTTTTACCGGAAATGGCAGTTTTTACATAAAATACAAACAAATAGGAATTACGACATATTTTTGAGCCAC